TTTTTTTTTTTTTTTTTTTTTTTTTTGTTTTTTGACCTGTTAATCGAAGACTTTTATAGAATTAATAAAGTTAGTAGAATTAGATAGTTAACAAAGGCAACAAATTGTTCTTGTAAATGTCGGTCCTTGCAAGTCTAATTACGATACTGTTTGTGTCTAGTAAAAAAATCATCGCTTAAAAAGAAACGATGGATCTAGAAATAAAGAAGTGAAGAATTTTACATTTTTCAAAAAAAAAAAAAAAAAACAATATGTATGGAATTTATGAAGAGCTTGTTTCTCGTTCCATTAAACATACTCTCGTAATTATTAATACGCCTGTTTGGATTTAATTACGTCCCGAGTGAATTTTGAAATTGAGAAACTTTATTTGAAAACTGAATTGGAAACTTCATTGAGTAATTTAGAATTTCTAAATATTTCTTTAAACATCCAGAACAGGGAAAAAAAATTGGGATATGAAAACAATTGGAGATTCGACTTTATATCAATTGACAAGCATATTTTGAGAAATGTAAAGTTCTGAAGAAAGTGAAAAAAAAAAAAAGAAAAGAGAATATGATTAAAAAAATGCGAAGACCGTCAAACGCAGCGTAACAGTGTCACTTTGTTTCGTTAAACAGCTAACTTATCACATTTGCCTTTACTTTCAACCTCGTCGCTTTCGTTTCTCCAACGTTCCTTCCTTTCGGTCCTTCTTCTGCTTCTTCCTTCTCTTCCTCCTCCTCCTCTTCTTCTACTTCATTTTCTTCTTCTTCTTCTTCTTCTTCGTTTTCTGATTCTTCTTTTCTTCCTCTTGCAGAGTGCTCACGAGAAATGCTTGATGATGTCACGAAGACTGGTGTAGGTTCCAACTACGAAACCAAGAAGAGCGAAGAGGACGAGCGACATGTTCTTCGCCAACATTATGGCCTTTCCAGTACGATCGCACGTGTGCCAAAACGTGCATATTTGAATGATCGCGGGGAACGCCAGCCCCAAGCCAGAGAGGCACAGTGCGCCGAACAATGATATGAAGAGGTCCAATTCAGGAATCACCACGGCTAACAGAACTAGAATTGAAGAACAGAAAGAGAGAGAGAGAGAGATTGTTAGAAAATTCTTTGGAGGTATTTCAACTGATCAGTCAAAATTGTAAAATGACAAAAAATTTAATCCATTAATGGATTAGTCGAGAAACTAAGATGACGAACAAGTTTTAATCATTCTGTAAGATTTAGAATTACTTGGAAAGATTTTTGGAAATACCTTGAATGGATTGAGTGTTAGGATTAGGATGATGAAAGTAGTAATTATTCTGTAAGGTTTAAAGTTACTTGAAGAAAGTTACTTTTGGAAATATTTTGCATAGATTCAAGATCAGGACGATTAAAATATTATTATAGTGAAGTTACACGGTTGATAAGATTATTTAAAAAATTTGTTGGAAGACGTTTTGATTGATCGAGTTGGAAAAGACACAATTACAGTTAAGTTTATTGACTATTATGTGACTGAAAATATTATTAATATAATATTATAATTTAAATTTATTAAAATTATTATTAATCATTGTCAGATGAAGTCAGAGCATGAAGTTTATTTTAAGTTAGAAAGAAAAGTAATTAGAATTTTGTTGTAATCAGAAAAATTGCAGTTGTTCAGAAGAATTAGACAAATGTTTATTTTTAACCGTTTGGAAAATTGTTTCGATTTCGTAATCATTTTAGTCTTCAAATTGACTTGTATCTTCTATTTGCGTAAGGGAATCAACGTTTGAACACGATGGAAAAAAACGAGAGTTTCAGTGAGTTAGAGTTAGATTCGATTAAAGCCTCCGGAATAATTACTCCAAGTCAAAAGGAATCAGGTCACAGGTCAGGGACACTCTAAATCAGTTATATCTATGGAACAGTTAGTTTTAACCAGTTTGAATCAAAGGCGTACAAGCCTCTCCAACAATTAGAGCCAGGAAGAACGAGACCTCAGGGTTTAAAGGCAATTGCACTTCCATGTCAATTAATTCTAATTATTTGAAATCGATGGCAATGAAGCATAACTGGGATAATAGTTAGTAAATTAGGGATGTTCTCGTACTTTTGAGAAACTTTTCAGAAATTCAAATAATATTCGTAATGATAGTAACTGTTGGTAACCAATGAAATATTAAAAAAAAAAAAAAAACAATTGTCTACCCCCAAAAATCGAATCACAAATTTGTATTTTTTACTAATTAATAACCATTTTCCATTTCTACAGGGGAAACCAAAGGATGTGCGTGTATCAACATCAAAAGCGTTGACGTGAACGTGCAAGGAAACGTGCTCATTTCATCGTCATACGCGGAAATAGTATTTTGGTGTGTTGTCAACGATAAACCGTACGAGTAATCGAATAGTGTATCAACAGCACTGACGTCACGCCACGTTAGATGAAGAACTCGAGACTCGTTCACTTACACGTGAGAAGGACGAGGGATGTTCTGACGACGTACTCCCACAACACCTTGTGCGAATTCTTCTCGAAATTCGGTGCGATGTACTCGTTCCACACGATGTCGATCGCCACGTAACACTGAATCGGATGAGTGAAGAAGATAGCGATAGCCAGGAGGATTTGAACACTTTTGGCGAGGACCAGAGGCTCGTTCAAGCTTAAGGTGATGCTACCCTCGATGGCACTGCCGTAGCGAATGTAACCAAAGAAACCGAGCCCCGTGTAGAGGAACACAATCATGCCCATTCCTATGTTTAGGACGCCGAACGTGCGTATGAACACCTTGGGCTTCTTCATTTCGTTCTCCAGTGGCAGTATCTGTAAGTAGATTACGAGGCGAGCGATTACATTAGTATCGTTTGTAATATTTATATAATATTAAATATTAATAATAGGTAGTAAGTATTATATAATATTTATACTAAGTATTAAGCAATAAATATTGTATAATATTTATACTGCTGGTAGTTGTCGTTTCATTTGAAATTATGGGAAATTGGGAGTTTCTGGATGTTTAAACTTTGGGATAGTACGAATGTTCATGTTATTTTAATAACTTCGAATTTTTGGAAAGTTTAAGTTTGTAAATTTAAGTTATTGGAGTATACAATTGTCAAGTTTTTGGGAATATTGAAATTTACAAGTTTTTATTGAATATTTAAATTTTCGAGCTTTTAAACCATCGAGTTTCTGGATTTCTGTGATATTGAAATTTCTGAATGCACAAATTTTTAAACTTTTATTCTCTGTAATATCCAAATTCCCAAATTTTTGAATTCCTAAATTGTCCAATATTCAACTCTCCAGTTCTCTAAATTTACATATATTCCAATTTGTGAATCTCTCGAATTTTTCTAAACCCTCAAACCTTCGAATTTCCAAATTGTCCACTATTTTAATTGTCACTCAAATTTCCCAATCTCCAAACACTTGAATTCCATAGTTCTAAATTTTCACATGAGAAAATTCCCTAAATTTCCAATAACTACGTAAAAATTCACAATCCGGTCATTAAAAAAAACATAAAAGAAAAAAGAGAGAAAAAATCTTCCAATTAAAGAGACAAAAATTTCGTTCACTTCAAACGAGTATTTACTCACCACGCCAATAGCTTCGAGAGCGAATAGCACGGTGCCAAAGTAAAGGGGGAAATTCTCCACATTCCCGATCACTTCACGATGTTCGAATGTCAAAGGCTCTCTAAATATATAGTACAATATTATGCCAAAGCTGATGAAGGTAATAAAGTTGGCCACCGTGGAACACGGCGCCAAGAACTTCAAATTCCTGATCCAATTGACCAAAATCAGAGGTAACAGGATTGCCAGCATGTACAATCTGACATCAATACCTGAAACATACGTGTCCAGTGCCTGAAAAACAAAAAGTAAGAGCAACGCTCATTAAACTAAAAATCAACATAATCAAAAAAGGAAAAAGAAAATTAATGAAATTAATTCGTTTATTCCTGCTTGATATTATATCGATGCGAATGTAAGAAAAAAAAAAAAAAAGAGAAAAGAAATTAAATTGCGATGCAATGAAAATTAGTTCGAGATGTTATTGGAAATGATAAGAAACGAATTGTCAAAATTCTTCTTTGCAGAACGGAATGATAATTTTCTCTTTTATACACGCCCGATCAATTATGTACGACGTATACGTACCTCGATCTGCCTTATTAACGATCTGTTGCCGATCTTTTATACATAATTAGACAATCAGACAGACATTAGACAATCAACATTCTCTCTTTACTCTTTATTTACTCCGTTGCCCTTTCTCTTACACACCCACAGACGATCTGAAATCAGAACGACGCAAGAGTTGGTACCACGAAGATGTTTACTTGCGTCATTTTGATTCAGAGTGTTAACACCATGTGATTTAGTAAGGGGATTAATTTAGTAGGAATTAAGATTTAATTAAAGTGCGAGCGGAACAAGGCACATATTTAATTACATAGACAAACAGTGTGAGAAACATTGTCAATATCTTAGAGTTGGTCTAATTTTTATATTCGTAAAATGTTCAAAATCCTTCTTTCTTTTATGTTAAATACCTATGTGAAATTTGTCGGATGTAAAGAATTCGACAACTTGCAATAGAAAAACTTATATGAATATATTATGTGTGTCATATCATCTTCGAGTTTCAACAACACATATTTGTAAAATCTGTATTATACGTAGAATTTGCAAGATATTCACTTGCAAAACGAATGTACATAATTTTGTAAGAAATTATATGTTTAAAATTACTAATCTTTTTACTAATATATATATGTGTGTGTGTGTGTATTTATTTATTTATTTATTTATTACTAATACTTACAATATATTACTAACACTATATATTTATTTTATATTATTTTATATTATACCATATATTTATCTTATATTATTTTATATTATACTATATATTTATTTTATATTATTTTATACTATCCTATATATTTATTTTATATCATTTTATATTTTTATATTACTAATACTATATATTAGTAAAAAAATTAGTTATTTTAAACATATAACTTCTTACGAAATTATATATCTGTTTCTTTCTGCAAAATCGTAGTTTCAGTATTTAGTGTTTAGATTACTTAAATGACCGAATTAACATGAGTCATCGCGTGCACATCGTACAACGCACTAGAGCTGTGTTATTTCTAACATTGATACGATTATTGTTATCGGCTCGTAGTGTCGTCGATATTAGGCATGTAGTTGTGCCTCGAATTCAAGGGCGACCGGATATGAGCCGCGACTTCGTTCTTAACACGTCTCATTTACCATGCATCGGTTCAGCCTTCGTTTTACGTAATCAAGAAACGTGGCGCAACGAACGCGATTCTATCGCGATTCGTATATTTTTTTTTTTTTTACCGCAAACCATTAGGTTTCCTCGCGACCAGCATAATTTCCCTCGCGAGAAGAATTTTTTTTCCCTTGCGTAAGAGTCATTATAATAACGAGAATGTTTTACACAGCGTAAAATCGTCTAACGAGCAATTATGATTTGACTGAGAGTTAGGAAGTTGAAGGATAGTTTTTTTTGAAAATGTAAAGACACTTCGCTTCCGGTGTTGACAATCAGTCTCTGGGGATATTCGTGACGTGTTTTCGTTTTATTTATTGAGGATTTTTTTTTTAATATTTAGCATCTCGAAGACTTTAACATTTCGAGTTTCAATATTAAATTTTTGATGCTGGCATGTAGGAAAAATTATATTTACCATTGGTTGAAATTACGAATTTTTTCACTGGCTTTGTGTCTGATTTAAATTTAAAATGAAGCTACGTTTCAGACATTTCGATAAATATTTATTACATTAAAATCTATGGATAGTAATGGATAGACAATAAATATTTATTAGAATCTGTATTAGAGCCATGGCATTTTTGAAATATGAAATTTTGAAAATGAATTTGTTACAATTGTACTAACATCAACCCTCTATGATAGAATATTATGAACGTTACATTATATATATTTTTTCTTTTTATTTTTATTTTATTTTATTTTTATTTCACCATTATCATTTTGCCAGATTCTAAATTAAAGAAAGGAGATTACATTGAATTAGAAGATTCTGCTTCTCGTAAAGAAAAATAATTATTTTATATAATACAATAAAAATGTAATTAACAAGAATGTAATATATCATATATAATTATTAAAATAGATATTTGTAATTCTGATTCGAATAAGATTTCAATTCCTGAAATCGTTGGTTAGCAATAAATAATCGTGTTAGCAATAAATTAAGAATACAATTAATACTAACAACACTGTTAGTTTAATTAGTAACATACGAATATAACACTACACGTGCGTCATTTTACTAAAAATATAAGTGTGATATCATACAACCTACCCACTACAACAAAACGTTAAACCAAAAATAAACTTGTCCCGAGAGAAAAAGAGGACATAAATCCTTTTCGAACTTTCCGAGAACCTCTTCCTCTGGTCACTCTATCTTTATCGCTTGATAGGAAAATTTGCATATGAATATACAAAAACGTACTCTCGACAAGAATAAAAAAAAAAAAGAAGAAGAAAAAGAGAGGAAATTCCACGTAGATTCCACGTGTCTTTCGTATAAACATATTGGTCCAACGTGGAAACTTATGGTACTTATAGTACGTTTTTTGCTGTCGATGATGACTGATATGACATATCAATCAGACGATCGCCACGGTCGTTGATTTTATTGAGATAATTATCTCTGCTTCGAATGACTGAGAGATCGTTCTTTATCGAGTATGTTTACGTGTTCACTGAGAGTGATACGTGAAATTTTAAAATCAAATAAACGTACCGTTGGTTGCACGTGAAACGCGTAGTAAGAATTGTGATGGCAACGCAAATAGCTATGGATATGCAGCTAATAACATGGTGAAGATACACCTCCAGTGATTGAATAGAAGTGACAGTATGCTGCACGTTGTGTGATTATGACAGTGTGAAAAGGAATGACATGATACATCATATTTTGGAATGAGATGCTGAATTACAATAGTATTACAGTTAAATTAATATGTACATATATAAAAATATATGTCCAAAGATATGTACTATATATATATATACATATCTGTACATATTAATTTAATTATGCACTATAGATACATATTTAAAATATATTCCAAATATGTACTATATATATATTCTGTACATATTAATTTAATTATACACTATAGATACATATTTAAAATATATGTATTTTTGTATATGTATTTTAAAATAATATGTATTGTATATGTATTTTAAAATATATGTATATGATAGTAAATACAAGTAAAAAAAATAATGATGCTAGAATACAGCAATGTTGTAAAATACTTGTAGTATTATATTACACTGTCTCATTGTTTATTATATTAGATTGTGTTAGATTTGTTACATCAGTGCTGTGATTATAATAATTCTGCATTGAGTAAAACAATTATAGTACTACGTGAACTGCTTGTATTCATATTTATTTGAATAAGCAGTATTAAATATCAAAAATAGTTAAGACAGTAATATAATACTATAATGTAATTATAGCGTTATTTTATTGAAGCAATATTACTATAATCACAACATTCAGATAACGTATTTATAATACAGTATTTCAAATAAATTACAGATCTTTACAGATCTCAACTAAAGATTCAGACATATTCCAATAAAATTCACAATTAAACGTTAGATTCTAAGCGTTCGCCATTTCGCAATAAAAACAAATAATACAGAAATTCCGCGATCCGTTAAAATGAAACAGCTCATGAATTATTTATCCCCGAACGAGACCGAGTGAATAAAATTTCACTGCACAGCCACTTAAAGAATGAATAACGATTCCAAACGCGTTGTTTATCCAGCGAACGCCCTTGTAATCTGATTAAGGTGTTCTGCCCTCTTAATCGTACATCCTGAATCGAGCCAGGAATTAGAATAGCAAGAGGTATCTGCCACGGTCGCGGACTCGCCGCGAGAAAGAAAAGAAGAAACAAGCGAGACCAAAATGGTGCGCCTCAAGGCGATCCACAGTGGAGACGACGTATGATGGAATGTGCCTCGATTCGATGATTTCTTTTTCGAGATATCTGGAGCAGTGATGCACGATCCTTTTGAGTATAAAGGGCCACGTGCAACATGACGTGCAATATTAATCGTGGATCGCGACGTTGAATCTCTCCCTCTATTGTTGAGCAAAAGAGAAAATATAGAAAGAAAAAAATCAATTAGAATTCGGCTTTCTAATGCCGAAGTTATAATCGCGAAGTATGATGTTAAAAAAAAAATCTTTGTTGTGCACCACTGATCCAGAGGATATCATCGTTTGCAGATAGAAATGAAGATTTATCATTTTTAATTTTTAATTTTCAAACGTTTGTTTGGTAACCAGAGACACGTTCGTGTGTTCTTTTTTTTTTTCTGAGTAAAGCTGGTAGAACACGTTCTGTGCTGAGCAAAGACCCTGATAATAAGTATTGTGGTGTCTGTTACAGTCTGGCACAGCAGATTATTTATAGCAACTCATTTATTTTGCTATTTATATATCCTGAATATTTTTTTTTTTTTTCTTATTCCACTACGGCTTTTTCATTGCTTTCAATTTCATTTAAGCGAAATGGTTATAATAATGACTCGATGTAACTCTACTATGAAACAATTTAATTATTTCACTATAGCTGGGTTATTACTTCAAATATTATTAAATGTCATACATGTACACGTACCAATTGAGAAACCATAGTAAAATAAGAAATAAAAGAAATATTAAGTTAACCCTTTGCGCTGGCCAACTGGTTTGCGGACCATAACGAGTGACGGAACCGTATACAATGATTCGTCGCTATCATTTTCTTTTGAACTCGTC